AAAAACGTGGGCCCCCGTACCGCCTCCTCAGGGCTGCTGCCAGGTCCAAGGTCTCATGGGTCCCTGTACGGCCCCCATTGCTGCTGCCCCATCGCCAACCTGCCATGTTCCACTTTGGGTCTCCTCACACTCGGTGGGTTCCTTTTTGTCATGGGTGGGCAGATTACGGGCCCCCATTGCTGCTCCGGGGGCCCTAATCTGCCTGGGCCCCCCGTACCGCCCTCATGCGCGCCAGGCCAGAGGTCTCAGGGGTCCCTGTAGGGGCCCCCCCTTTGCTGCTGTCTCCATTGCCACACTCTGCATGTGCCATTTTCAGGTCCCTCACACTGCTGGGGGTTTCCCATTTTGTCTAGGGTGCTGGCGATTACGGGCCTCCCATTGCTGCTCCCAGGCCCGAATCTTCCAGGGGCCCCCCGTCCCGACCCCCATGTGCTCCCAGGCCCGTAATCGTCATGGGCCCCTGTATGCCTCCCATCGCGCCAGGTAGGTGTCCATGGGCCCTGTAACCGGACCGTCCCCATTGCTGCTGCTCCATCGCTACACTCTGCCATGGTGCCACTTTCAGGGTCTCCCATCACACTGCTATTGGGTTCCATTTTGTCATCAGGGTGCTGGCAGTTAACGGCCTCCCATTGTCTGCTGCCAATGCCCGTAATCTGCCATGGGCCCCCGTACCGACTCCATCAATGCCTGCTCGCCAGGCATAATCTGTCATGGGCCCCTGTAACCCGCCTCCTCATGCTGCGCGCCAGGGTCCAGAGGTGTCCTCATGGGTCCTGTAACGGCACGTCCCATTTGCTGCTTTCCCTCCATCGGCCACACTCTGCCATGTGCCACTTTCAGGTCTCCTCACACTGCTGTGTGGTTCCGAGTTTGTTCATAGGGTTGCTGGCAGATCACGGGCCTCCCATTGCTGCTGCCAGGCCCGTAATCTGCCATGGGCCCCCGTACCGACTCCTCATGCTGCTGCCAGCCCGTAATCTGTCATGGGCCCCTGTACCGCCTCCTCATGCTGCTGCCAGGTCCAGAGTGTCTCATGGGTCCCTGTACGGCCTCCCATTGCTGCTGTCTCCATCGGCCACACTCTACCATGTGCCACTTTCAGGTCTCCTCACAATGCTGGTGGGTTCCATTTTGTCATAGCGGTGCTGGCAGTTTACGGGCACTCCCATTGCTGCTGCCAGGCCCGTAATCTGCCATGGGCCCACCGTACCGACTCCTCCATGCTGCTGCCAGGCCCGTAATCTGTCATGGGCCCCTGCACCGCCTCCTCATGCTGCTGCCAGGTCCAGAGTGTCTCATGGGTCCCTGTACGGGACCTCCCATTGCTGCTGTCTCCATCGCCACACTCTGCCATGTGCCACTTTCAGGTCTCCTCACACTGCTGGTGGGTTCCATTTTGTCATAGGGTGCTGTATGGCCTCCCATTTGCTGCTGCCTCCACCGCCACACTGTGGCTCCACACTCTGGGCTTTTGGCCCCGTGACTACGTGCCCAAATGAGTGAAGTGTGCGGTGATTCTAAGATCGACGGCACTCATCTGCATGTCATACTGACTGACAGTATTATTTCTCTTCCCCAGCAGACTCCAAGGCATTTAAATTAAGGGTACAGTGTCTTGCACTAATATAAACGGCTCTCTGAAGCCTAGAAACACCCTTTTTATAAGTTAATTTTGCAGCGAATATATTCGCCTCGAATCGAATTTATTCCTCGAATTCGCCGAATCAGCCGAATCGAATTTTTGAATACTTCGCTCATCTCTAATCTTAATGTTCCTGTGTCCACTGAGCGCAAGTTTACAGCCCATGTCAATGTAGCTAATCTCTTGGACATGGAGGAAAAAGAAAAATTGATCAAAGATTGCAATGAAGGATGGTGCGAATGGTGGAAAAAAACCATTGGTCTACTTTCAGACAAATTCAAGCTGACCTTTAAACACAGGGTACAACTGTGTCAGCTTGCCCTATATGTCGCCATCATGAATGAAAAGGCTATAGTAGGAGACCCAGGAGGACCCCACTGCTGACACAGAAACGTAAAAAAGCCAGATTGGAGTTTGTCAAAACTTACCTGAGGAAGCCAAAATCTTTTGGGAGAATGTGCTGTGGACAGACGAAACAAAATTACAGATTTTTGGTAAAGCCCATCATTCTACTGTTTTCAGAAAAAACAATGAGGCCTTTAAAGAAAAGAATACAGTCCCTACAGTCAAACATGGTGGAGGTTTACTGATGTTTTGGGGTTGCTTTGCTGCTTCAGGCACTGGATGTCTTGATCATGTGCATGGCATTAACAAATCTGAAGACTACCAAAGAATTCTGAGGTGCAACGTACAATCCAGTATCAGAAAGTTGGGTCTTCCTCAGAGGTTCCATAGTTCCATAGTTTAGAAGGTAAAAAAAGACACAGGTCCATCCAGTTCAAACTCGGTGTATTTATGTGTGTCTGATTTTTATCCTCTACAAGTCCCATAGCCCTGTATAATTCTGCTTCCTGAGGAAGACACCTACAGTTTTTCACATTTGCCAACACTATCAGCTAGTCTCAGTTCCTGGGGGATGGGGTTCCACAATTTACTATCCTAACAGTAAAGAACCCTTTCCTTAATCCAAGATTAAACCTAATTTTTTCTAACTTCAAATCAGGGCCTTGTATCCTCTTCAGAGACCTTAGAGTAAACAGTTTATCACAATTACTGAAGTCACTTTTATTATGTTTGTACATGTTTTATAAAGAGGTAGAATGATTGATTTATTATGTAAGTATTCTACTGCATGAGAGTAGTCTGCTGGCTTTGCTAGCTGCGGCTTGACATTGCGGCCCTGATTTACTATTGTGGCCTAGGCGCATTTCCGTGGGCGAACGTCTAATTTTTATAGCGACCATCTACTTTTTACCCCCGCTAAGAGATTTACTAAAGAGAAGCGTCAACAAGTAGACGCTACATCGAATTTACTAACGAGACACAGATCAGGAATCAGACTCAAAAAGCAGACTTGCTAAGAGGCACGTCTGACACCATGAAAAATCACTGCAGAAACATGTTCACATCGAAATTTGCTTTGCCAAATATCAGGACTTCACTTTAAACAATATCTGCCATTTCAAAAAAAGTAAAATGTGTTAAAAAGTTTTTTTTAAGCAAGTCGACACAGTGAAGAACTAGACGCTTGTGCAGCGTATTTGTCCGACTTGATTATAAATATGCGCATGTGCAGAACACAGTGCTTTTAGACGTCCTCTGTGCGAGCGCTTGCTTTTTTAGCCGTGTTCAATAGTAAATCTCTGTGTGGATTCCTCTGACAGCCGACACTCGGCGTCGCGACTACTGTGTTTAACAAACAGCACTAGGCATATCTTTATGTATTCTAATTTGATTTCCTTGGTTCTAGTGATTCTATTTTTGGTTTCTTACCCTTTATAATTATTTCTGTAATGATTTTACTTATTTTGAAGGTCTAAATAATATTTATTTTGACCGCTGAATGTAAAAATAAAGGTCTGCAATTAAAAAAAAATAAAAACAGCGTGCGGTCCCCCCTCTCATCCATACCAAGCCCTTCAGGTCTGGTGTGGATATTAAGGGGTAACTCCACGCCGAAATTAAAGAAAAAACAGCGTGGAGTCCCCCTCAAAATCCATACCAGACCCTTATCCGAGCATGCAGCCCGGCAGGTCAGGAAAGGGGGGGACAAGCAAGCGCCCCCCCCCGAACCATACCAGGCCACATGCCCTCAACATGGGGGGGTGCTTTGGGGCAGGGGGGGCTCCCCCCCAAAGCACCTTGTCTCCATGTTGATGGGGACAAGGGCCTCTTCCCCACAACCCTGGCCGGTGGTTGTGGGGGTCTGTGGGCAGAGGGCTTATCAGAATCTGGAAGCCCCCTTTAACAAGGGGACCCAGATCCCGCCCCCCCCCCCTTATGTGAATGAGTCTGCGGTACATGGTACAGCTACTAATTCACAAAAAAAGCAAAAGTGTAGTGTAAAAAAAAACAGTACAGGGTCTTTGACAAGTCCTTTAATAAAACAATGTCCCCCAAAGTAGATCCAACGTCAATCACGGCGACCCGAAAAAAGAAAAAAAAAAAGCTCCGCTCTAGACAGAGGCTAGCTGCCTTATGCAGGAGCCAGGCTGACAGTTCTTAAATAGGCAAGGGGCAGGGCCAGCCGGGACAAGTCCAATTTCATGTACTAGTTGAATGTAGCACAGTGGCTAAATGATTAGCACTTCCCCTGGCAGTACTAGGGTCATTGGTTCGAATCCCAACCATGGCATCTCCTGCCTGGAGTTTTTCATTTTCTCCCTGTGCCTGCCTGTGTGTTTCCTCCGGGTACTCCGGTTTCCTCCCACACTCTAAAGACATGCTGGTATATGCAAGTACATGCACTATATGCAAGTATGTCCAAACTAGCAAACCAAAAGCCCTCTATTGCACCACAAGACCATGTTATGTACAATGAATAGGTCGTGTTCAATGTGCAGCTAGCTATTCTTTTTCTACAATCCTCTTAACAGTAATAAATTGGGCCCCCCAATTTATGTTGACTTTGGGCCTTTACCAAATATATATTCGCCAATGTCATATACACAGTATAGCTGCAAGCATACATTTACCAATGCCAAATCCACAACAAACTGCAAACATATATATGCGAATGTCATATACACAATGGAGCCACATGTAAAATTGTTATGGTGCACACAAATAAACGCCAAGACAGCTGTTGGAGGAGGCACTAGAGCAGCTGTCATACCAGAAATACGCCATGACATTTGTGGAAGGATTTTGCACATACCCAGAAGTGGTAGTGGGGAGTGTTAGTGGATGGGAGTATGTTTTGGGAGAGTTTAGTGGTTTAATTTGCAAGTCTATTTTTGAGTTTTGTGAATTGTTTTTTGTGTGGAATTCCAGACCACATCTAGACATGGCGAGATCGCTGTTCTCTCCACCGAGGAGCTGATCCTCATTTGCCGGGGAAACATTACTATTAATTGTTGTATTTTCAGTTGAAAAACATGTCCAATTCCTAGATCCATTGAGGTACATAGCAGAGGTTCAAGGTTCTTCCTAACTATACAGGTGGCACAGACACAAGCATACACCCAAAGCCACTGTTAGATTATCACGGGCCCCGTACAGCATACCTGACAGCCCCCCACCGTCAGAGAAAATATCCAAATTATTTATGGTAAAAAGACACTAAAACATTATTAATGGACATATTCCCAACCATATTCCTGTGAAATCTAAATGATAAAACTGTACTGAGTTCATAAAGCTGTGTGTGTAATTGAGGTCTTGGGGCTCATTCACATGGGTGCTGTGGCCTGTAGAGTGGGAATCAATGGTTTGTTTTTGTGGCTATCGCCGTTTGCAGGCAACCTATGTTACACTATGGAAATGCTGCAGGTCATAATTTGACAAGCATAATGGGTGCAGGTGTACAGCCCTGAACACAGACAGTGAGCATTCAGGGCCACTTCCCCACGCCTTCACACCTGTCAGATTAAAACATGTGTTCATACAGCTGCTGTGTCCCCCATAGTGTAACAGGTGGCTCTAGCACACTCATTCATGCTGTACAGGCCAGAGGACCTGTGTGAATGGGGCATTTTTTACTTTTTTTTTTTTCCTCAGCTCATTAATTTCAATGGGCTGCCTGATGTGTGGGAACATGCAAAAAATACTGCAGGCATATTATTTTAAAAGTGTGTTGCACCTAACCGCACAGTAGTCTGGTGCCATGCGTTTTGGTGGCTGTGAATGGGTCTATTTTTAATAGACGTGTTTAGGTGCAATTACGTTTTCATCATGGTACCTGTGCAGATCTGAAAAGGCATTGCATTTATTTGCTGTGCTGGAAAATGTGTGTTCTTGCATGCGTTTTCTGCACCACCAATGGTGTGAACAAGTCCTAAGGGCCAGTTTACACTATAGAAACAGTCTATATGTGATCCTGATGAGTTTTTGCATGCCCTTTTGGCATGCATGTTTAGTGTGTTTCAGTACATTTTGGATGTGTTTTGGACACGTTGCATTGCATTTTTGTATCCCTTCCAGTTAGTTTTATCTACTTTCTTTTCATTCAATTTAATTAGGGACATGTGCGTTTTAGTACATTCAAGGGCGTTTCAACACGTTCCAGTACAGTTCTGTGCATAAACAATGCAACGTGTCAACTTTGTTTACAGCACCTGCAATGCACTGAAAATGCAAGTGCTGATGTGAATTATGACATTGACAACCATATAACCTTCTTTGTGATGCCGAAAAAGCAACTGAAACACATGTAGTGTGAACGGGCCCTAAAGATTATTAGAAGTAAGGGAACGGGACTGACCAGAAATTGTGAATTCAATCAGACTAGTGGTGAGATACAATCAGCAATCGTATAATAATGTGAGATCTGAGCTGTAGATGATAGAAAATGAGACACATTCACTTTGATCAGTAAATAAATAGTTAAAAAGAGTGGGGCGGTGATCCATAGATTTGCATATGGGACAGATGATGATGGGGTGGGTAAGGGGTCAAGTTGTATAAGGAGACAGGTTTAAAAGAAGATAAAAAAAGTTACAATGAAATATACACAGCATGTAACTTGTACATTTCCAACTTGTCAGAA